TGTTAGAACATTCTTTATACAGTACAGAACACGTTATCCGGAAATCGGAAAACCAAAAAACCGGAACGAAATTCGATGAATTTTCCCGCCATTTTTTTAAAAAAAAAAAATTTTTTTTCCTCATAAGATTTTAGGATTTTTCTTTCTTTTTTGAAAGATTTTTACCTTACCATCATTTTGGAAATAATCATTAGTGTATTACTTCATCGTTTTTCCTTCTTTTTAAGATTATTTCCAAAAAAAATTTTTTTAGTTGGGTTTAACAATAAAAAAACGGCTTTTTGTAGCGATTCAGAAAACCGGAAAAATCAGTTATCCGGAATAGCGATGGTCCCGATAGTTCCGGATAATCGGTTCCCTACTGTATATTTTTAAAAATTTGCATTTCTTTCTCTCTTTGGTATTTTACTTCAATTACGATTCAATAAAGGCAATCGAAATAATAAGTAAATAGTAGATTATCGATTAAATTTAAATATAATTACAGATTTCAAAAATGTTTTTTTTTTAAAAAAGGCTTAACTCTCGGAACTTTTTTGATTCTTCCTCGGAATCATTTGAGAACCGCCGTTCTAAATGATAGAAGAAGTCCTTCAAAATAGAAATGGCTTCAAGGAATTTCTATCGAAGAAGTTGTGTACCTATATTCTCGAAATAACATATCTCTGAACATGTAAATACTTCAAATGCATTGTCAGAAAAAATCATAAGTAGATACAAATAGTTTCGCTTAAGGACATCACGTGCGTGTAAAGAGTCTCAAAAAGCCGTGTTTTACGTGTGAGGAATTACAATTGGAAATAAAACAGACTTTTGATGTAATACTTTTGGGTCTTCCATTTTCAATGTTAAGAGAGGAATGCAAATGGGCATTCAATCTGTTACGCTTGCTTTATTATTTACATTATTTTTAACTTCAGTGTAAGAAAATGGCATTAAAATTGATTCTAACAATGTAAATCGATTGTACATATTTTCTCACATGATTTGTGATAATTGATTATAAAAGCCTTTACTTGAGGCGAAAATAAATAATTTTCCCATTTTATTTGCATATTATATTCATTATTTCTCTAAAACCTAATTGTTTCGAAATAACTTTCGCTATAAATATATTTTTAAAATTCTTAGCACACATTTATACAATATTTGGTATTCACGTTCCTCTATTAAAATATACAGACAGGAATAAGTTTAATGTGCTTAAATCCGATACTTCCAAACGTTTTTTATTTATTTATTTATTTTGTTATTTATGACTAAGCTATTAATCTTCATACTCTTTTACGTTATGAAAAATAAATAAACATTAAATCGATAATGCTTTGCTGTGATTAATTTGAAGCGGGGAAACTTTTTAAGAAAATGTTAAAATAAACTGTGAAATATTCTTAAACGCAAATTAATTAAACAGATAAAATCCTAACATTTTATGCCCCAATGAGCTTTATTTTATTGCATTTTGAATATACAGGTTGAACAAATGAATGGAAAAACTTCTGTACTAACTCTATGCAAATAAGTTTTGTTTTAGCAACATATGTTTTGGAAGATTTTACATGGCAAAATATTGTCCCAATTTGAAAGATCAATCTGGAAGCTTTTAGAAATGAGGACATCATGCCCGTGTAAAATTTGGATCGGCCAAAATGAGAGTAGGAAGTTTAAAATCGATTTCCTTTTTCAATACTTCTATAATTTAAAAAGCATTTTAATGTATAGCAATCCTACAGAATGATTTCAAAATTGCTGGTCTAATGTTAGAAAGAAGTTATTAATTTGCGACGCTCATTTTGGTCGATTCGAATTTCGAACGGGTAAAAAATTACACCATTCCAAAAAGCTTCAAGTGTGATCTTTCAATTTGTGTCAACCGTTTTGCCATGTAAAATCTTTCAAAATATTTGTTGCTAAAAGATAAAACTTTTTACATAGAGAATATAAGTGTTTCCATTATTTTGATCAAACCAATGTATACTTAAGTCATACGCATTACTTTCTTTTTTTCTTCTGCCTAGTTAGGTTTATATTCTACAAATGCTGCTATTTTACTTATTTATGTTGCTTTTTAATAAGACTGGTAACTCAATTAGTATTTAATTTTTTTTTAAATTTATTTTCCTCTAAGCGAATTTCTCTCATTTAAACAGATGATTTGTTTAAAATGGTGGTAAATTTTAATATTTACGATTTTTTGTTTTTGATTTAACAAATTTGATTTACAACGATCTTGACCATCGCTATATGTAATGATTTTAAACAATTATACTCTCTCTCTCTCGATAACTCGATGGATAAACTCTCGATAACTCGAAAGATTAACTCTCGATATCTCGAAAACCTTGTTATGTCAAAAAAAAATTTTTTTTCCTTGACATTACATATTCACCTAATGTTTATTTAAATTCCTATGTCGAAGAGTTTCTTCTCAAAAGCTTGTTAAGTCGATTTTTTTTAAACTTTTTCGAAAAAATCACAATGTAAGTTTATTGTACAAACATTATTTTCTATTTAATGCATAATTATTGTCTTACTTTTAAAAATAGAATTATAATTGTTGCATTTGGATTTAGAATCAACTATCATGACATATTTATTAATACTTATTCTAATGTTTCAGGACTAAACTTTTTAGAGTAATATTTTCGAATATATTTTTCTACTTTTTAGAACATGTTTAGTTCTGAACTTGCTATCTCGAAATTTTTTTTTAGCTTTCCTTCAACTTTGAGATACCATCACCTCCTACATTGGAAAGCCTCCACACGGTTTTTTTAAGTAGTCTGCGCTTCTATGTAAAAAGTGAACCAGTTGTACGCATGAAGCTAAATTCTATTTGAAAAGCAACCAAGAGAAAGTTAACATATATATTTGAGAATTGAATTTTTGGTGGTAGACCAGTTAATAGGACAAATTAATTATATTAATAAATTTAAAAAAAATTTAGACGTATATTTGCAATCACTTTCTTATTTTTACTAGATAATTCTATTAAATGGCTCTTTCGTAAACTAGTTTACCTTCATAGTGGTCTAATCGGACTACCTATAAGATACCGTGTGGAGACTTTCAAATATAGGCGGCGTGATAATACTTGCAAATTGAGCAATGAAGTTTATAAGTGCTAATAAAATTAAAAGCGTAAATATTATTTCAACTATAATTTCGCTACGACTTAAAACATTTTGGCAGCGCTAAGACTTCCAGGTTGGTATAATATATTGACATTATAATTATTTTTTATTTATGTCTGAAAATTCAATAAATTGCAATACCGCATTTTTTTTTAATAAAGGCAAGTATCTGTCTCTAAAAAAATGGTGCATTAAAGCTCCTGGTAAAGGGGTTTAACATGAAGAATCCATAAAAACGAAATCTTCTCCCACAAATGAGCATAGATGTCATACGACAAAGTTAAAAACACAACCAACCAATTATGGTGACACTGATAACTGATAAGAAATCAAAATACAGGAGTAAATAAATAAGCCGCATGTGATAACTGACACTTCTATCTCAAGTGAAAAGTAAGCAAATCCTTGTTCTGTTTAGATAACATAAAAAAAAGAGAAAGGAACAAGCACTTTCAGAAGGGTTTACTTACAACAAAGGTGTCTGAAATGTCTATCGCAAACCACGATGCTGTTTATTATACTAGGTGTTCCGTAATCACTGTTCTTAATGTATATTTTTAAATCATTGTAAAAAATGAAGTGAAACAAGAACGAGCAGATTATGGTCTACATTTGGCGATTGTAATTGGCGTGACAGATCACGATATGGAAACATTTCACCTCTATCTCAAGTGAAAATTAAGCAAATCCTTATTCTGTTTAAATAACAAAACAAAAAAAGGAATTAGCACTTTTAGAAAGTTTACTTACAATAAAGATATCTGAAATGTCTGTCTCAAACCACGATGCTTTTTTTATACAAGGTGTTCCGTAATCACCATTCTTAATGTATTTTTTTAAGTCGCTGTAAAAAAAAATAAAGCGAGAATAGTATGTGTTCCATTTTTGGCGATTGTAATTGGCGCGACAGATTACGATATGGAAATATCCCCCCAAAGATTTCAATAATTGATTTAAACTAAGATTTTACGCTAGAACGCATATCAAGTGGGTGCAACATAGTAGCAAGCGTAGCGAGCATAGTTTTCAAAGCCAATTATATAAGACTGCATAGCAATCATAGCAGCGTGAGTGAACATTGGGCGGAACCCACTAATGAACTTAATCTTAACCTATATAATTTTATAACCAATATAATTGAACTTAACTTAGTAATTTAATTTCACGAATAATAATTAATAATTGAATTGTCACAGTTTTTGGGAAAAAATACACGTTTCCAAAATAGGTGACTTAGTATTTAAAAACGGTACAATGATATACTATTTACATATCGTTTTGAAACTCCTGTTAAGGAATCTTGACATTATATTTAATTTATGTTTCTCTGTAAGTGCAACGACTTCTGCAGTTAATACTTTTTTTAAAAACATGAAATTTAAATTTTAAATTAAATGGTGGTAATGGTAATAAAAGATATTTGCTAAAAGAAGAAAGAAACGCATGACACAATTGGTTTGTATAATGCACAAAGAAATCAGAAGTTTCAGAACTATATATTGCAATGATAAATAAGTTTAAATAATTAAAGTTAAATACATAAAATTTTAGAGTGGCGATTGTTTTATTTTAGTCCAAATAAATCTCAAATTAATTTTTAAAACTAAAAGAAAAAAAAAAAGTATAAATTTTGCTACCGCTTTAAATATAAAAGTAAAATCTTAAGGAAAATTTGCGTACATTAACAGTTAAGTCTGAATGGCGGAACCAGCAATATAAAAGTAACAATAGTTCTCTTTTTTGAAGTAATAAAACATTAATATTGGTTAAAAAAAAATATTTAGCGATATAAATATATTAATTTTCAGACTTCGATAATGTAAATAAAAGCACAACTTTAAAAAAAAAACTAGTATTTTTACTTACTTTTAGCAGCAAATAAAAGCCTTCAATTTAAGCATATTTTTGATCCCACACGAAGCAAAAAGCGTGAAATATTCCATTTAATAAAATCAAGGCCGTTCGCATAAAAATATTTCCAAGCGATTTTTAGCTTCACTGCTTTCCATTTAAAATCAGAAACAACTGACAAACTATTCTTAGTTCAGCGAACTAAACGTTAAGTTTTACTATTTCCCGCCACTGTGTTTATTGCTAGTTTCACAAAAACTAGAATTAGTTTTTTTCCACTGATTTCCCATAGTTATCATAGATTAAAGTGTTTCTGCCAATCACATTCAAGGTCAAGGTCGCTCCATTAACGAATATCGAATTAAAATGGCTAACTGCGCTTTGTTGGGAATCTTTCTGTTAGCTTTGTTGATAAAAATACGAGACGCACATGTGTGTGCTACGGGTCGAAATAAATAATGTTTGAATAGAATCAGTAGCCTTTCACGTGAATTCTCATTTGAGAAAAATCTACGATCGTAAAAAAAATCACGAGGAATAATAGTTTATGTTCTTTTTTTTGTTTGCAAACATTGTATTTTGCTGGGAATGGAATTTTGTTTTCAATGAAACGTTATGCGCGTTAAGGGAATTTTCCTTATAGGAAACTTATGCAAAAATGGATTGCTATTTTCAGAAATAAATACATGACTCCTCTTCTGAAACAATCGTAATTTGTCGTTCCGTAAAAAATTTACTAAGCAAGTAAAGAAATTCTGTAAATATTTTAGCTTGACGTGTATTTTCTGATTTTTTATCCAAAGTTGTCAAGAAAAGTGTTTAAATAAATTATGGTTCATGCAAATTAAACTGATATTGTTTCTGTGAGAGAGAATTAAAAATGCAAATAGTAGATCATTTCTTATAGAAAACTTTTACGAAAAAATGGATTGCTGTTTTCAGAAATAAATACATGACTCCTTTTTTGAAACAATTGTAATTTGTCATTCCGTAAAAAATTTACTAAGCATGTAAAGAAATTCTGCAAATATTTTAGCTTGACGTGTACTTCCTAATTTCAATTTATTCATGGTTGTCAAGAAAAGTGTTTAAATAAATTATGGTTTGTGCAAATTAAACTGATATTGTTTCTGTGAGAGAGAATGAAAAATGCAAATAGCAGACCGTTTCTTATAGAAAACTTTTACGAAAAAATGGATTGCTGTTTTCAGAAATAAATACATGACTCCTCTTCTGAAACAATCGTAATTTTTCGTTCCGTAAAAAATTTACTAAGCATGTAAAGAAATTCTGCAAATATTTTAACTTTACGTGTACTTTCTAATTTTTTATCCAAACTTGTCAAGAAAAGTGTTTAAATAAATTATGTTTCATGCAAATTAATGTGATATTGTTTCGGTGAGAGAGAATTAAAAATGCGAATAGTAGGCAATTTTTAACAGAAAACTTATTCGAAAATAAAAGCTATATTCAGAAATAAATACATGACTCCTCTTCTGAAACAATCATAATTTGTCCCTCTTTAAAAAATGTACTAAACTTGTAAAGAAATTCTTCAAACATTTTAACTTGACGTGTACTTTCTAATTTAAGTTTATCCAAAGTTTTCAAGACAAGTGTTTAAATAAATTGTGGTTTATACAAATTAAACTGATAGTGTTTCTTCGAGGGAGAATGAAAAGTGCAAATAATAGACCGTTTCTTATCGAAAACTTTCACGAAAATGGATTACTATTTTCAGAAATAAATACTTGACTCCTCTTCTGAAACAATCGTAATTTGTCGTTCCGTAAAAAATTTACTAAGCATGCAAGGAAATTCTGCAAATATTTTAACTTTACGTGTACCTTCTAATTTTTTATCCAAAGTTGTCAAGAAAAGCGTTTAAATAAATTATGGTTTATGCAAATTAAGCTGATATTGCTCCTGTGTGCTGAAAATAATTTTTTGCATACTGGTAGTAAGAATATTTAAATTTTTTCTTTTATTCAGGAGAAATAAACTACCCTTGACTATCATTTATTTTCTCGATTTTAACGTACATATATACTAGTCAAATCTCACTAACTAATGAAAAGTAGTAGTAATTACAAATAGTTTGCTTCTTTTGGATAAAAAGAAGAATTAAAATGTATTTACTGCCACTATTTTTTAATTTTTTATTTTTGCTATAATTAACAGACCTGTTTTAGTAGAAAAATGATATCAATAGGTAACAGACGATGCAAATAATTGCAAAACAAAAGAGCAACACGTAGATAAAAGTCGTCGGGCTAACCGTGGGAGGTTTACGTGGTTTTCTTACGCATGTAACGCAAATGCGGATAGCTCCATCAAAATGTCTCCCACGAAAACTAGTTTATTTCATTGCTTGATCCAGGAATTCCTTTGTCTTCCAGGTTGGGTTCAAAATTACAAAGTTATGGAGTTTAACATAATTAAAAACAGTCAACAACTACTCAGTTGCAAACTCGAAAAATAGGTTGATTGTTCAACTCTGGTTATGAAATAAAATATTTTATTGAATGTTGAGTTTTACTGCAGTAAGCCGCCAAATTAGCTCGCCAAAAATTCAAACTTTTTTTTTCCGCACTCAAAGTAGAGGGATCAAAATGTGTTCTAAATGGGATGTGACATACAAAAATTGGGGGGGGGGGGGAGAAAGAAAATTGCTGAAGTTAAGTGCCATTGGGGGCACTATTGTTAAGTGTTGCCATTTCAAAATCACCATTTAATGCTAGGCGTATTATTGATATGAGAATGTCATATGAGCATATGAGAATCTCGCGTGTAAAAAGTGATAACCTACTTCCTTTGTAGTATAGAGATAAACAAATAATCTTTTTTATAAATGATAATTAATATTACATATTTCAAATTGGAAAACTTATTGCTTAACTTTTGTTCTTTTGAAATATAGAACGTAAAGTTGCCAAAGAAAAATTGAAGTATTAAAAGTGGGAAACAAAACTAGAAAAACCACAGTAACCGAGAGAGAGAAAAGATGGTTGTTGTTGTTCATTTACGTCGCACTAGAGCTGCACAATGGGCTATTGGCGAAGGTCTGGGAAACATCCCTGAGGATGATCCGAAGACATGCCATCACAATTTTGATCCTCTGCGGAGGGGATGGCACCCCCGCTTCGGTAGCCCGACGACCTGCACGCGAAGTCGAGCACTGAACAGTTTAACGAGGACCAATATCGCACACCCTCGGTCCCTACGCAGATTGATCAAAGTGGTCACCCACCCGCACACTGACCGCAGCCAGTGATGCTTGATTTCAGTGATCTGCTGGAAACCGTGTCTTAATGATCAGTCCACTGCGGGACGAGAAAAAAGATGGAAAACCGAACAAGAATAACCGCATTAGCTAAGAGAGTCAAATCAGGGTAAAATGCACTCCCACACGCTTTTGAAAGTTTGTAAGACTGAGATTTTACTTGTTCTGCTTTTCATTATTTTGCTACTATGGCTTTTCTAGTTTTGTTTCTCACTTTCATTTTTCCTTTTTTCGTTGGCAACTTTACGTTTTATATCTCAAATCACTTTTGTTTCTTCTCATTCAAGCCTAGCAACTCTTGAAAATGGGCGCCTAAATTTGATACACTTGACAATGTCGATTGTCATTTCCAATTTCTGTATTTTTTTAGCAAATGAAGTTTTTAATCGAGTAATATCTTACCACTCCAGTTTCTTGGGATTAGTTATTTAATTTGGATATTGTGATATGCAGTTACAGCTAATAACAGCCACCACGCAGTCTGCTGAACACAAAATGTTTTTACTAAAACGACTTATAAAATCATGATGGATGGGATAGGGGCAGCTGCGCAGCCCAGGTGCTCAGCTAAGTTAAATAAAGAAGAAGAAGTAGTTACAGCTAACGTTTAGTTTTTATTGCAAGAGAATTTCTTCAAGGTTAGAATAATTTATGAATAAACTAATTAATTATGAAACAACATGATAAATTTCCACCTATAATGTCGTGCATTATTTTGTATTCGAAAAATTAAATGTTTTTCTTGGGATTCATGGTTCTTTCATTTGTATATTTTATTTTATAACAGTCGTTGAACAGCCGACCCAATTTTGGGTATACTACTACTAATGTTCAACTCCGTAGCCTTATAATTTTGAACCAATCTGGAAGGCAAGGAAACTCCTGGATCAGTACCACCAGAGATATGATTTGTTATAGGAACGTGCAGGACTTAGGGACCCAACAGATTTAACCTGCATCAGTCACCATTTACTACACAGGGAGTCTTCGGCGGTGGGGATCGAATCCACGACCTCTTGGACATGGGCCCAGTGCCCTACCGACCAAGCTATCCCGGCCCTTTCATTGATATTGTGAAAATATTCATATTTACTCAAGTATGACAAGAATGCGATAACTTCTTGGCTTTCAAGCATTTTGCGGAAGATTTTCACAACCAAGAAGTTATCGCATTCTCGTCATACTTTAGTAAATATCTAAACACATTCACATGCCATCTCATAAATTCGATCGATTTCATCAGACGATCCGCATCCAGCAAAGCCTGGAGAATAAACACGAAAACATTCTTCCGACATGTCACTGTGAAAAGAAAAAAAAGAAAATAGTTCTAGAAAGTGATTCTAAGAAAGAAAAATCTTCTATTTGGAACAAAAAGAGGACATAAATAGTGTTTTCTCTCCAGGTGTATTGACTTTCAGTACTCACGGCGGATGGCTTGTGGGTAAAAGGCGGAACATGATTTCGAACAAATGCTTATTACTTCCTTATTCAACGGTTGTCAACCTGGACAACTTCAAAATTACCCTTCTGTATCTTCCATATTTATATAAAAATGGTATGGTGCGTTTAGAATTGATGCGGACACGAAGAAAAAAAAACGCAAATTGTTTGAATGAGCCAGAGCTGAAAAAATAAAATTCCGCCGTTTTGAATCACTGCCATTTTTATTATCAGACAAACACAAGCTGTTCAATGTTTTTAGGAAAAAGTCATTACATTTTAAGGAGCCTAGTTTTGCTGTTTTGAATTACTAACATGCAAGTTCTTATGCAAAAATGGCAGCTAATCAAAGAACATATTAACATTTAAACGTTTTTAACTAAACAAGTCACCTAACTTTTCGATGCTTTATAACACTGACGTTTTGAGCCATAACTGTACTAATATACATGCAAATTGCAGCTAATAGTAGAAAATTTCAATGCTTATCGATACATTTAACCCACTGATCTAGAATTTTTATGCAATACTTTTATACAATATTTATACTTTTCTCATTATTTTGTATTAATTTAGGTCAAAATATTATTATTGGGATGTAAATAGTTTGCATTTATGATTATGATATTAATAATTTATTTTCATTATTTTACAAATTAAATTATTTATAAATTTTTAAATGTGAAAGGAAAAAAAAAATCAAACTACTTTTTTTTTTTTTGGATTTCATATTTTAATACAAATATAATTCTAATATCCTAACATGTTGTTTTAG